CGATGCCCACCTGTGTGGTGTACCACTCCTCCACCTCCCTGCGGTTGGTCTCCACCACGGCCTCGTAGGTGCTCCTGACTTCGTTGAGCACGCGGTTCAGGTCCACGGAGGGCGCGGCGTCCACCTCCACGTTGAGGCGGTCCCCGAGCTGGCAGCGCAGGGTGTTGACTTCCTGGGGGAGGAAGGGAAAATGTTAAATGTCACCAGTGACCTCATTGTTCTCTACAGGATAAAACAGTTCAACTTCTAGTCATTCCTGAGCTCTCAGCAAGCTCCCTTCCCTCTCTCCTCTCCTCGGCCGGGTTATACCCAGTGATGAACCTCCATTCTGCTGTTCACCAAGAGCTTGAACCCATGACCCCTCTGCCCTTGAGACTCAGTTTCCCACTTCTCCCTGAGGCCCCTGTGGTGTGGTGGCCTCAGAGCTGGCCATGGTGGACCACGACTTAAATCCTGGTCCCTAAAGCCCTACTTCAGTGTTCTTGCTAGAATATCTCACAGCATCTGAGATTTGACTCTTAAACATGGGCCACAAAAGGACCTAGGCTGGCAAAGACAATGCCTGCTTCAACACCTGCCTTCCAAGAACAGAACCGACTTAACTAGATATTTACTGGTTCTGCCAATGTAGATTTTGCTGGGTGAAAAACAGCAGCTCACTACCCTGCTGTCTCTTCACAGAGCACTGTAACGTGGCACTTGGCACTGCTTTGTGTCTCATCTCTAACACTCTCTCTGCAGCTTCTAGAAGCTTCTCCAACCCCCAGCTTCTCCATGCTAAAATGAGAGCTTGCTCTGAAGTTCTGAGGTGCTGATTGGGATGTTTGGCACAGCACGAGCTCTCTGCGGATGAATATGATCTGTCCCGGGAGAGAAAGTTGCACACCTCTGTCTTCTTCACCCACATTTCTTCCAAGCCACACCCAATAGCAGAAAGAGCTCTGGGAAGAGGTGAGGAGCCTCCCACTTCGTCCCCTGCTGTTCAGCCCCCTCTGCTGGGTGGGCCAGGGCCATCAGCCCTCTCCGTGACAAAGGGACGGGGGGACCCACAATACCTGCAGCTGCACTCTGAACAGGGCGTCGAGGAGACCTTGGCGGCAGCAGCATCTGCCCACGACCTTTCCTCTTACGGACCTGCCCACCGCCTCGGCCTCCTTCCAGCCCCTGGCAGAAATCTCCTCATCTCTGATCACAGATTTTTCAGTAACTCATCCTCTACAAATCCCTTTTTGTTTGGAGAACGGCTTTCTTGGCACAGCGAGCCTGTGGCTGTTGGCAGCGAGTCCCTGCGAGCCCCGTCATGCTGGGAACCTCACCTGCTCGTGGTTCTGCTTGAGGGACAGCAGCTCCTCCTTCAGCGACTCCACCTGCGCCTCCAGGTCAGACTTGCACAGGGTGAGCTCATCCAGGATCCTGCGCAGGCTGTTGATGTCGGCCTCCACCAGCTGCCGCAGGGACAGCTCCGTCTCGTACCTGTGACCACAGGGGACTGGGGGTCAGGTTGTGCCAAAACCCACTTTGCTTTGGTTTCTCAGATGACTGGGAATTAGGATTGGTAATTTTTCTGGGCATCTCATTCTTTTAGGGTTTTCAGCACCCTGCAGTCAGTCCCAGAGGAAAATGCACTGGTGATTATTTTCTCACAGAAGCAGTGGGTTGAGGGCGCCATAAGTCCAGAAACTGAAAGGTTTCCAGGATGAACACCCTTCTCCCAGTCTCATGACTGAGCTGTGTGCACAGGAGGCCGTGGGAGGACTGCACTGTCCACGCCGACATGCAGTGGGACTGGAGGGCATCACTTTCCAGAGGAGGAGGAAGAGGAAGGGTTGTGAGTCCCAGACAGAGGTCTGAGGCTAACTGAGCAGGAATGCTTCAGGCCACAGGGCGATGGCTAGGAAAGTCTGCTCAGTGTCTGTCACTGCTGACAGCTGTGCCCACTCACTTGGTCCTGAAGTCGTCGGCCGCCAGCTTGGCGTTGTCGATGTGCACCACCATCCGGGCATTCTCTGCCTTGTTGCAGAGGGTCTAGAAGCGAGGAGACAGGGCAGAATGAGCCAGGGCTAGCTTCTGCCTGGCCTGCAGCAAGCATGGCTCATGTGCTCAAACAAAAGGGTCAGAATGAGAAATCGGGGCCAGGGATATAGCTCAGTGGCACAAGCACCTGCCTGGCAAGCACAAGGTCCTGAGTTCGATTCTGGGTACCAAAAATAAATAAATAAATAAAACAAAGAATGAGAAATCAGGGTGCATCTCATCCACAAACGTGGAGTGAAGTGTGGTCTGTACAAGAGGTGCTCGATAAACATCGGAGAAGCCAGATTTGAAGCCAGAACCCTGAGACGTGCAGAGGAGACAACATTCATTCATCCCAAGTCAACAATACTGAAACGCTGACGATAATTCACATTTATCTACCCTGTGGCTGGCATGGTTCTAGGCTACGAAGCAACAAAAATGAGCATCCACTCGGTCCTGCCTTCAGGAAACTTTGGATCCGCAGGGAAGATAAATATAAACCAGCAGGGGTGGGGACCGGGTCTCTCCCCGCCTCCTGGGGGCCCTGGCACCATTTCCTCCCACAGAGCATCCAGTCTTCCTGGGTTTGGGCCCCTGCCACACTGTGAGTGTACCAGAAGCCCAGAGGCCTCCAGAGCAGGGGAATTAGGGTCAAGAAGAGAAAGGGATCTGGAAGCCAGAAGAGCCAGGTCCCCAGCTGAGGACAGAAAATGGTCCAGCTCATTCCTCAGCATCTTTCCTGGGCTCAGTTATCTTCTCACTCAGGATGATCATTCCAAAACCTGGCAAATGCTCGGACACGCTGGCTCAGAAGCTCATTTATCTAAAGCACTACTACCTCTACCTCGATGAACTCTGTGCCAACGCCGGACCTAGGGTCCGCATCTGGAAACAGACAGGCCTGGAGAAAGCCAGTGGAGGGCAAGGTGTCGCCCTCCCGCCACACCGAGAGCTGGGCCATTTCTGCCCCTGTCTCAGGTTCTCCCCAGCAACTTCCCAGCAGGGACACGGTGGTGCCCACCCCTCACCTTCTGCTGCAGCTCCTCGATGGTGCGGAAGTAGGACTGGTAGCTGGGGCACAGCAGGGGCTCCTGCTGCTGGTTCCGCTCCTGGATCTGCCTCTCCAGCTCCGCATTCTCCCGCTCCAGCTCCCGCACCTTCTCCAGGTAGCTGGCCAGGCGGTCGTTCAGGAACTGCATGGTCTCCTTCTCGCTGCCGTTGAAGGAGCCCTCGCAGAACCAGTTGCAGTTGCCCACATTGGCGGGGATGTTACAGGCCCCAGGCAGGGTGCAGCCGTGGCAGCTGGGGGGAACGCAGGGCCGGGAGGAGCAGCTGGTGCGGCAGCTCAGGTTGGGCAGGCAGGTGTTGTAGGGCATGGTGCTGAGGGAGCGAGGCGCCGGGCTGAAGATGGATCCAAGGTCTCCAAGCCGCAGAGATTGTGGGGCTCCTTCTGCGGGCGGCCTTTATACCCCCTCTGTGGAGGGCGTGGACCCGTCAGGCAGCCTCTCTTAGGCTCATTTGGTGATGGTCAAAGCCCTTCCCTCTGTTATGTGTTTCCTGCACAGAGTCCCTCGCCTCGTAAAAGGCTTTGCCTGGGCTTCTCCCAAAGGCACGACTCCTCGCGGGCTGCGTGTCATAAAGTCAGAGCTTCTCGGTGTGGCTTCAAAGCCCTGCACTCATGAAATGTGGCTTCAAAGCCCTGGCCCTCATTAGCGGGGCGTGGCAGTGCAGGACGGGCCAGCTGCTCGACCTTCTGGCACCAGAGCCCCGATGCTTGGCAAGCCTCCCCTCTCCTGGGTGACTTGGAAAAGCAGAGTGCTTGCCCTGGTATCTTTTTCTAGGTCAAATTTCCAAATGCCAAGTCCACGGCTCTCAAAAAGCAAAAGCGATCCCCTCTGGAACAATTCAAGCAAGCTAGTTCCTGGTGGCCCAGTGGCCCTGAGGTAGTCATGATAATGTCTCTCAACCAGTAACAGTTGTGCATAGGCCTCTGTGAGGAGCAGGAGCCCGGCCGGTGCTGGGGTCTGAGGGGCCTGTGCTTGTCTGGGGACCTGCCCTGGCCCACGTTCGTGCTGGGCACAGTTCACATATGTGATCTTAGCAACCTCGTCCCTGCAACCCTTCAAGACAAATGATACAGCTCCCGCCTCACCGATGACAAAGCAGGGCATGGAGGCAAGGACATAGTAAGTCTTGGCGCTGAGAATCCAACAGGGTCTTTCCGTCAGACCATGCTCCGAAGCATGCCTGGCCCCCTCGCTCCTCTCCGAGCCCTCCTCGCCGGCAGCAGGACATCCCAAGCCTCCCAGACTCATCTCTCTCTGTTGCGGTCCCCAGGGGCCAGAGCAGGCCGAATTCATCTTTGGGCCCTGCCACACGGGGGTGCTGTTGAACGCTCATGCGTTCGATGGGTGGAGAGATGAACCAGAGCTCACAATCCGAGGCAGGAGGTGACGGGTGAACAGGTGAGGGGTTTGCACACTGGGGACTGGGGGTTCTGAGGAGTGGATTTGCACTGGAGGAGGAGGATGCAAAGAAGCAGAGAGAGAAAAATGGGAACGGCAGGTCTCGGGCAGTGGAGCGTGCACAGCGAGGGACTTCAGTGAGCCCCTGGGGATGCAGGGGAGTTGTGAAAGAAGCGCTGGAAAATAAGATGTTGAGGAGCTCACGGTCAAGTGGTGGCAGAGGAGACGAGTGTGGCCTGAGCCTGAGTGTGGGGAGCCACAAGCTGGCTTAGGAACCGTTTCTGCAAGCGTTTCTCAGCTTTAGAAACAGGAAGGAGCCGGGCATGATGGCGCACGCCTGTAATCCCAGCACTCGGGAGGCTGAGGCAGGAGGATCGTTGTGAGTTCAAGACCAGCCTGGGCTACAAAGTGAGCTCAAGGCCAGCCTGAACCGCATAGTGAGACCCTGTCTCAAAAAAGCAAAAAGAAAACAGAAACAGGAAGGAAAGACTAAGAAGAAGAAAGACTTCTTCTTCTCTAAGAAGAAATGGTGGAGAGGCGAGCAAGGGGGTGAGCACAGCAGCCCAGGGAGGCAGGAAGAAGGGTCATGAGGAGCCACACTGCTACAGTTTTATGGCGGGGATGAGAGGTTCGGCTAAGGGTCAGCGCCGGCGCACGAGTTGGAGAAATGGCCAAGCGAGAGAGGACAGAGAGAAATGAGAGGCCGAGGCCCACACCTGGGAGGATGCCGGAGACATGGGGGAAGAGGAGGAAGCTGGCAGGAGAAGGAGTTCCTCACACCACAGAAGGGCAGGCGGGGAGCAGTGGAAAGAGGGGCTGATGTCAGAACCGCTCCCTCAGGGCCCAGGGGCTGTGTGAGATCAGGACCGTGGAGAGGGGTCTTGGCTTCCCGGGCCCTCCCTGAGGTGGACACCTCCCTCCCACGGGTGTCCCCAGTGTGTGCAGCGCCCGTGTTCCTAAAGAAACGCCACAGTGAACCCCCGCACACCGAGACCTCCATGCCCCGGAAACGTTCTGCAACATCCCGTTCGGACACCTAATGAGAAAGCCTGTGAGCTTGAACCTTAGGAATCCGACTTCTTAACTGGAGTGTGCATGGAACAGTTTACAGAGGGAGCTTGTTTGAACCGGATGATTCATAACAGTTTATGATTTAGGAACAATTATCTGCAAAGCATAAAGCAATACAAGCTGCCCATGCCTATGACACCTGTGTTTGTTGCTTCTTATTGGACATCCTGGAGAGAGAGGCAGTGAGGACAAAGTCCTAGCAAGTGTGGGGGGCAGGCAGGGGCCAGGGAGGGGAAAGGCCTCACCGGCCTCACAGTGCAGGACGCAGCGGAGCTCAGAGGGCTGCTCCCCAACAGACCCAAGGCATGCAGAGACAGCCTGGTTGCTCTGTTTTAGACTTCACGTCTCCTTTCCTGCTCTGTGCCAACTAATCTAGACCCTAAATGCCAACCAAGAGAGAAAATCCTGGAGCCAGACGATGTCAGGGATCTTAGTGATTACCTCGGTCGTGCTCCCCTTGCTTTACCAGTGAGAAAACCGAGGCTCTCTAAGAAGAAATGGCTTGCTCAGGACCCTGTTATCAGAACCCAACCTGGAGACTCCACCCTGTTCTCAGTCTCATTTCATGCTACAGACAATGCACAATTTCACAATCTATCTGCTGCTGCCCAGGGCAGAAACCAAAGGCAGAAAGAAAAAAGAAGAATCGCAACAGAAAAATGGAATCTTGTTATTCACAGGTCTGTTCTGTTGGCGAAGAATCAAAGATTCGTGTGGGAATAGTGAATTCACCAATACTAAGTTTCCTGGATGTCTCCCTGGACTTAATTGTTATTTCTAAACTGATGTTATAATTACAGACCAACAATTTGAAATAATTTAGATATAATTATATCCCATCGACATAGAATTACATGCTGTCAGTTTGGGGCAACTTAAAATAACACTTGGTCAAGTAATGCTGACCCTGTTCCATAGCAATATACTTGCCCAAAAAGAGGCCCACAAGTAGTCATAACGAAATTTAAAATTGTATCATTTTAACAGTGAGAACAATTGAGATATTTAAAAGAACCACCCTACAATGATGACATTGGATGCTTTTACATGTCAAGAATAGAAAAGGTTTTGCCGGGCGTGATGGCACACACCTGTAATCCCAGCACTCGGGAGGCTGAGGCAGGAGGACCGTTGTGATTTTGAGACCAGCCTGGGCTACAAAGTGAGCTCAAGGCCAGCTTGAGGAGAGGGAGACCCTGTCCCTACATAGGGAGACCCTGTCTCAAAAAGACCAAAAAAAAAGAATAGAAAAGGTTTTTTGTCTTTCTCTGTACCTTTTTTATTCATTCCAAAATTTTTTGAAAGTGTATTACTTCTGCACAAGGGAACAAAATAAAACTTACATTAAAAATTACAAAAGGAAATGCTTACAGTGCTTCTAAGGAAGTAATAAGCGGTATGAAGGAGCCGGTTTGGGCTCCTATTCCAATCTAATCACTGCACTGCCCTCAGCTCATTACCCAGGAGTGAAGCCTGTGTCGGGATTGGAACTCACAGCCTTGTGGTAACCACTGGCTTTGCCAAGTCCCAAAGTGAGCAATACGGAAGTGGTGAAGGGAAAGCTAGCTGCCCGTCGCTCAGGAATTTACTGGCATGGGTGTGAAGTGCAGATGACAGGGGAGCCACACCTAGAGAAACCTCTGCTCATCCACCGTCCAAGGAGACTGGTGTTAGGATGCTTCGCACTGAGCAATGTCCTTGCAACAGACAGTGAATGTTCTTCCCTGACCATAGGGTCTAAGTCAGATGAAACCTGAAATCTCAGCAAGCTGGAACTGCCAAAGACCTCTGGGTCATTTCACCATTTCATCCAACTATATCACTTTACAAATAAAATAGCATTGTCCCAACCAGAGACATGACTCCCCCAAGCTCTCAGGGAGAGTTTATGAAAGAGTCTCAACTTAAAAAGAATAAATTAGGTTGGAGAAATGAGGGACAGGGAACCGTCTTTAGTCCTTATGCACGAATTAGAGCTGGGACAACTGAAAAATGTAAGTCCCTCATCCTGAGTTGAAGGTGGCTCAAAAAAATAGAAGGTGCTCCTTATCACAGGAAGATTCTTTTAAGCTGAATATCTCTTTCTGGGCTCGAAATTTAAAATGACAAGTTCCCTTTGAGATTACTAAGCTACGTGTTAACCTGTGCATCACCATGTTTAGGGGTTGAATTTATGCTCCCCACATGATTAAAGAGCCCCCATGCTAATAAATTAAAGAGCACAGGAGGAAAGAAATAGCTCATGATCTGCAAGGAAGACAGGACATGAGAAGTGGAAGGTGAAAGCCGGAAACATTAAATAACTATGTTTAAAGAGGTTATAGGACAAAATTAATTAAAACCCTCAATATGGTGGCTAAGCTGCAAAAAGGAATCACGTTTTTAAAAAATCACACAGAAATTCTAGAAATGGAAAATGGATCTTAAAATGTAAATTCTAAAAGGAAGTCACTTGCAACTTCAAAAAGTCAAGATTTTCTTTGGCATCTATACTGTTCAAGTTGCTGAATTCACTCTCAGCTTTGACAGAACTAACAGAATTATTACTAAAATCTGGGTCCTAGCTTTCACTATCCTATTGGGTGCTTTCAGATAGTGAATACCACTCCCACTGGTTAAGCCATAGTAATTATTCTCATATGCAATACTGTCCTGTTATCTGTTTGAATGGGCCTCACAGATGGTGACCCAGTTCTTGGAGTCAGCAAATGTGCATGCGTGCATGCTTGTGTGTGTGTGTGTGTGTGTGTGTGTGTATGTGTGTGTGTGTTGAGGTTTTATTTTGTTTTGTAACTTTTTTCATCAAATGACAAATCTACTTTTATAAAATTCAAATCTCTTAATAGCTTTTGGCCGGGCATTGGTATTTATTTTGTTGGTTTCCTAGCGGAGTATCATAGTTCTTCATTTCTATTGAGATATAGAATACACGTTACTGTTTCATCATTCCACTTTTACATACTCACTTTTTCTGTGTCAAGAAACCTT